TGAATAACTTTGTACATATATACTTTTGTGTTGCTGGATATGTATCTTCAGTAAAAATTCCTAAAAGTGGGATTTCTGCATCAAAGGTTAAACGCATGCCTAGTTTTGTTAGATATTGGCAAATTCCCCAGGGGTTGTACTAAGTTGTTTTCCCAACAGTGTATGAGTGATCCTATTTTCCTGTAGCATCACCAGCAGAATGTAATCTTAAACTTTTGAATATTTGCCAATCTGACAGGAGAAAGGGTATCTTAGTATAGTTTTGATTTGTATTTCTCTTAGGAGTGAAGTTGAATGTCTTAATGTTTATGTACTATTTCAGTACTTTTTTATGAATTATCTGTTCATATTCTTTGTCCCTTTGTTTTTCAATTTTTCTTTCTTTATTATGGATATTATCCCTTTATATATGAAGTATGTTACAAATATTTTCTTTCACTTTATCATTTGTCTCTTAACTTTGCTTATGGCGTTTCCTTTTTGCCATGCAAGTTTCTTTTCATATAGTTAAATTAATCAATTTTGTTTTGTTCCATCTGTTTCATAGGTAGGAGCTCAGATGGTGTAGTGGTTAAAGCATTTGGCTGCTAACCAAAAGGTCAGTGATTCAAACTCACCAGCTTCTCTATGGAAGAAAGACAGTCTCCTTCCCTGAAGGCTTAACAGTCTTTGAAACCCAATGGTGGTGTGATAGTTAAGGTGGTTATTGTTGTCAGCTTGACTAGGCCTGGTTGAGTGGCTGGGCAGCTGGATGTAGTTGTTCCTCATAGTGAGATTGGCAATCAATACCATGGTGGAATTTAGTGGAGCAGCTGATAGCAGCTGAATAGCTACTTTAGGAATGTGGGCTGCTTCCAGTATATAAGAAGCAACTTTGAGGAAGATCTCTAGTTCTTTGGCACACTTGAACCCTGCATGTAGCCAAGTTGTTCAACAGCCTGCCATGCCCTGCCAATCTTGGGACTTTTTCTGGACTTGAATTAGTGGCCTGCCATGTTGTTTGGTGATATCGGGACTATGCCTTTTCATTTGTCAACCTTGGGTTTGTCAGCCTCAGCAGCCAACTGCTGCATGAGTGAAGAAAAGCCTCTAGCTGCTAGCTTCAGTGAGCTGGGAGCAAGAGGCAGAGCAGAAGCCCAGGGTTGAGGGGCTTTCACCCAACTCCTAGAGCCTGGCACTTTGAATTTGGACTTCTAGCCTCCAAAAATTTTAAGAATAAACTCCCTATTTGTTAAACCCATCCCATTTGTAATATTTTCTGTTAGAGCACCACAGTTGTTGTTGTTAAGTGCCGTCGAGTCGTTTCCAACTCATAGCGACCCCATGCACAGCAGAACAAAACACTGCCCGATCCCGCGCCAGCCCCACAATCCCTGCTATACTTGAGCCCATCATCGCAGCCACCGTATCAATCCATCTCCTTGAAGGCCTCCCCCTCTTTCGTCGACCCTCCACCCTACCAAGCATGACATCCTTCTCCAGGGAATGGTCCCTTCTGACAACATGACCAAAATAGGTGAGACGAAGTCTGGCCATTCTTGTTTCCAAGGAGCATTCTGGCTGCACTTCCTCCAGGACAGATCTGTTAGTTCTTTTAGCAGTCCACGGTACTTTCAGCATTCTTCGCCAGCACCACAACTCAAAAGCATCAACTCTCTTCGGTCTTCCTTATTCATTGTCCAGCTCTCACATGCATACGAGGTGATTGGAAATATCATGGCTTGTGCCAGGTGCACCTTAGTCCTCAAGGAGATATCCTTGCTCCTCAGCACTTGAAACAGTTCCTTCGCAGTTGACTTTTCCAATGCTACACGTCGTCTAATGTCCTGACTGCTGCTTCTGTTGGCATCAGTTGTAGAACCAAGCAACGTGAATTCCTTGACAACCTCAATCTTCTCTCCATTTATTGTGATGCTGCTCATTGGTCCAGTTGTGAGGATTTTTGTTTTCTTTATGTTGAGATGTAATCCATACTGCAGACTGTATTCTTCAGCCTTCATCAGTAGGTGCCTTAAGTTATCCTCACTTTCAGCAAGCAAAGTTGTATCGTCTGCATATCTCAGGTTGTTAATGATTCTTCCTCCAATCCTGATACCACAGAGGTAACCAACATAGGTGGTCACTATGAGTTGGAATCGTTTTTTTTTTTTTTTTTTTTGTTCCTTTCTTTTGAGTGTCACAGTTAGAAAGCTTTTCCCTGTACCCAGGTTGTATAGGCATTCATCCCTGTTTTCTTCTAGTTTCATTAGCTTCAGTTTTTTTTTTTTTTTTATATAGATCTCTGCTACATTTAGCTCATTCTTAGGAATGGTGTAAGGAATGATTCAAATTTGTCTTTTACCAAATGGTATTGTACTTGTTTCAAACTATGAAAAAGACCATCTTTGCCCCAGTAATTTGGGATACCAGCTTTGTCATATACTTGATTTCTGTATGTAGTTGGGTCTGTTTCTAGACTTCCTATTCTATTCCATTAGTCTATCTATTCATACACCAGTACTGTTATTTTAATTATAGGGACTTGCTTTGTAGTGTAATTCAGTGTCTTGTATGGCTAGTCTCACTTCATAGATTTCCCTTTTTTGTTTGTTTTTTTCCCCTAGCAATGCAGGGGAATGGGGCAGGGACACGTGTGTTTAGGGGATTTGGTATTATGGCTATAGGAACTTGACATCTTTCTGTCCTGAAGACTGAGAGTCAGTAGAGGTGGAGGGGCCAAGGCTAAAGGGGAAATGGATTGAGCAAGGTTCCTAATGTGGTATGGAAGCAGGATTCAGAGGACAGATAAAAGGTTTGGTCCTGTTGATGGTTAGAATTCTACTGCATACCCAGTAGCCCTCACATTTGAACTGCCATGGACTGCTGTGTCCAAAGTAATAATGAAAGGGATGTAGGTAAACTAGTATGTGCCATAATTCATCATTGATCTCTGATGATCTGTGGTTAATGCTCTCAGGTAAACTACATTTTGTTTTAATGTCTGCTGAATGATAGTTTAGTTTATTTTCCTGGTGATAACCTGAGTTCCTGGCCTCCTTGCTTGTTCTGTAAATTTTAACTCAGTTTATCATTTCCATAAGCATAAGGTAGACCATGAGTGTGATTCCTTTTACATGTTATTAAAAAATGTGTATCCTACTTTCCTTTTATGCCTTTCCTTCCTCCTCACATATCCACAAACAGCATTTCTAAATAGGATTGACAGGATTCTTGATTTCTGACAAGAAAATCTGATACCCAGGTTAATACAGGGAGATCTAACTGGACGCTCTGGTAGCATAGTGCCTAAGGCACTTGACTGCTAAGCAGAATGTTTGTGGTTCAAACCCATGAGACACTCCTTGGAAGGAAGGTTGGGCAATCTACTTCTGTAGTGATACCACCTCAGAAACCCAAGGAGGGGTCGCTATGAGTCGGGTCCAACTTGACAGCAAGGAACAACAACAATTTTTAACTGAGTTGAATCATAGATGTCTGAGGAGCTCTAGTGGTACAGTGGCTAAGGTATTTGGCTTCTAACCAAAAGGTCAGCAGTTCAAACTCACCAGCCGCTCCATGGGAGAAAGATTAGGCAGACTGTTTCCGTTAATATTTACAGCCTTAGAAACCCTGTGGGACAGTTCTACTCTGTCCTATACATAGGATTGCTAAGAATCAGAATCAACTCAAAGGCAGTGGTATGGTTTTTTGGAATCATGGATGTCTAGTCATCTAACCTTGGAGGATAACTGGCTTAGAACTGTTTCTTTTATCCTAAGGATCAGTCTGTCCATTAGTGAATGCCAGTGGAGTACCAGTTACATATAGAGTGCCTACAAAGTGTGATCTGTGGACAAGATCTACCTTGGCCCTAAAATCTGCTTTGGGAAGGAGCTTGTCTTCTATTAGTCCTGTGCTTTATGAACAGGTTCCAACCTGGTCCAATATAATTTGTCTTAACAATTACAATACTATAATAAATAATAATAGCATTTATATATCATTCATCAAGTGACAGGCATTTTTCTAAATGCTTTATGTGCTACCTCATTTAATATTCAGAACAACCCTATTGTACTTATTTTACAGATGAGGAAACTGGCACAAAAAGTTTAACTTTCTCAAGCCACATAACTAGATTTTTGAAGTTAGGTAGTTATTACTTCTTTGCTTGATGGTTTGCATTTTTGCTTTTAGTCTTTGATATACCCTGACTATAGTTATCATAGGAGCTCTGGTAGCATAGTGCCTAAGGCACTTGACTGCTAACCAGAAGGCTGGTGGTTCACACCTACCAGCCACTCCTTAGAAGGAAGATTGGGCAATCTACTTCCATAGTGATAATGCCTCAGCAACCCAAGGAGGGGTTGCTATGAGTTGGGCCCGACTTGATGGCACATAACAACAACAACATAGTTATCGTATTCATAAATGGGCCACAGTGTTCTTCTGTATACAGTTCCTCTAATGATAAATGGGGACTGCCCACTTTCAGGGTCATTGTTATTCCTGTAGGTAAAGTTTAGGAGGCCAGACCAACCTTAGTAGTGGCAGCTTTCTTTCTTTCCCATCTCTGATATTGCCATTCTCATGATTTCATAACCATCTCCCACTTACTTGTTTTTGCTCTTTAGTTTTATTTGTTCACTGCTGATTTTGTCATCCTAACTTGTCTTACTTATTATATTTTTTTGTGCTCCTGTTTAGAGATTTCTTATATTCTCTTTTTCCATAACTTGGTGACATTGTTAGGAAATTAATCTGTTCTACAGCTTAGTTCTGTGCATGATTTCAACTCATTTTCAACCTGCCTTCATGCTAAGCTGTTATACAAGAATAGAAGAACTTTTTGCCATTGAAAATTCAGGGCTCTAGCATTTTCACGTTATCTCCACAGGGGTAGAAATTTTGGCATGTCCACTGCTGTATCACCAGTGCAAGTTAATGAGTGGGTTTTGATGTAACTCTCCCATTTCTTCTAAACAAAGTAAACAGTTATCATTTTTGTTTTCTTGATTTAGTGTCACATTTGAAGACGAGGAGCACTGAGCATGAGAAATCAACTGAAAACTATGAAAATTTTGGAAATGCAGAATCTAAGTTGCCACAAATGGAAGATCTTCACAAGGATTATATACAAGAATCTAAAGTTGGTGAAACTTGTGATTGGGATAGCAAGGTAGAGAATCAGTTGGAAAAGACTGAGGGTAAAAGAATGAAGGAAGGGAAAAGTGGCATCAGGGAAAAGATCGGCAAAGCCAAGAACACAGCAAATGTAAAGACAGAACAGGAAAATGAGGCATCTGAGAAAAGTTTACACTTGAGCTCAAAAGATATTACACATAAGACTGTCTGTACAGAACAGATAAACAGTGAACAAGGTCAATGTGTGGAAAACATTAATGGAAACTCTCACCCCAGTCTACAGCAGAAAACCAGCACTGTTAAGAAATCACACAAATGTGATGAATGTGGGAAGTCCTTCAAATATAATTCCCGCCTTGTTCAGCATAAAATTATGCACACTGGCGAAAAACGCTATGAGTGTGATGACTGTGGAGGGACTTTCCGGAGCAGCTCAAGCCTTCGAGTCCACAAACGGATCCATACTGGGGAGAAGCCGTACAAGTGTGAGGAATGTGGGAAAGCCTACATGTCCTACTCCAGCCTTATAAACCACAAAAGCACCCATTCTGGAGAAAAGAACTGTAAGTGTGATGAGTGTGGAAAATCCTTCAATTACAGCTCTGTTTTAGACCAGCATAAAAGGATCCACACTGGGGAGAAGCCCTATGAGTGTGGTGAATGTGGGAAGGCCTTCAGGAACAGCTCTGGGCTCAGAGTCCACAAAAGAATACACACAGGGGAAAAGCCCTATGAATGCGACATCTGTGGGAAAACCTTCAGTAATAGCTCTGGCCTTAGAGTCCACAAAAGGATCCACACAGGTGAGAAACCTTATGAATGTGATGAATGTGGGAAGGCCTTTATTACTTGCAGAACACTTTTAAACCATAAAAGCATCCACTTTGGAGATAAACCCTATAAATGTGATGAATGTGAGAAGTCTTTTAATTACAGTTCTCTCCTTATTCAGCATAAAGTCATCCACACTGGAGAGAAACCTTATGAATGTGATGAGTGTGGAAAGGCCTTCAGGAACAGTTCAGGCCTTATAGTGCATAAAAGGATCCACACAGGAGAGAAACCTTATAAGTGTGATGTCTGTGGCAAAGCATTCAGTTATAGCTCAGGCCTCGCAGTCCATAAAAGCATTCATCCTGGGAAAAAAGCCCATGAATGTAAAGACTGTGGAAAATCCTTCAGTTATAACTCTCTTCTTCTTCAACATAAAACCATTCACACTGGAGAGAGACCTTACGTATGTGATGTGTGTGGGAAAACCTTCAGAAACAATTCAGGCCTCAAAGTACACAGAAGGATCCATACTGGGGAAAAACCTTATAAATGTGATGTGTGTGGGAAAGCCTATATCTCACGCTCTAGCCTTAAAAATCACAAGGGAATACATCTTGGAGAGAAGCCCTATAAATGCAGCTATTGTGAGAAATCCTTCAATTACAGCTCTGCCCTTGAACAACATAAAAGGATTCATACTAGGGAGAAACCCTTTGGATGTGATGAGTGTGGAAAAGCCTTCAGAAATAATTCAGGCCTTAAAGTACATAAACGAATTCACACTGGGGAGAGACCTTACAAATGTGAAGAATGTGGGAAAGCCTACATCTCACTTTCAAGCCTTATAAATCATAAAAGTGTACATCCTGGGGAGAAGCCCTACAAGTGTGATGAGTGTGAGAAAGCTTTTATCACATACCGAACCCTAGTAAATCACAAAAAAATTCATCTTGGGGAAAAGCCCTTCAAGTGTGATGTGTGTGAGAAATCTTTTAATTACACCTCACTCCTTTCTCAACACAAAAGGGTGCACACGAGAGAGAAACCCTTTGAATGTGACAGGTGTGAGAAGGTCTTCAGAAACAACTCAAGCCTTAAAGTACATAAGAGAATCCATACCGGAGAGAAGCCCTATGAATGTGATGTGTGTGGAAAAGCCTACATCTCACACTCAAGCCTTATTAACCATAAAAGTACTCACCCTGGCAAGACACCCTTTACATGTGATGAATGTGGAAAAGCTTTTTTCTCAAGTAGAACTCTTATAAGCCATAAAAGAGTCCATCTTGGGGAGAAACCCTTTAAATGTGTTGAGTGTGGGAAATCTTTCAGTTACAGCTCACTCCTTTCTCAACACAAGAGGATCCACACAGGAGAGAAGCCCTATATTTGTGACTGGTGTGGGAAGGCCTTCAGGAACAGCTCGGGCTTAACAGTGCATAAAAGGATTCATACAGGTGAGAAACCTTATGAATGTGATGAGTGTGGGAAGGCATACATCTCACATTCAAGTCTTATCAACCATAAAAGCATCCACCGTGGGAAGCAGCCCTATAATTGTGAGTGTGGGAAATCCTTCAATTATAGATCAGTGCTTGACCAACACAGAAGGATCCACACTGGAAAGAAGCCATACAGATGTAATGAGTGTGGGAAGGCTTTTAATATCAGATCAAATCTTACCAAGCATAAAAGAACCCATAGTGGAGAGGAATCTTTAAATGTGATATATGTGGGAAATTATAGTAGCACATCACAGAAGATAATCCTTGAGGGAGGGAATGTTCTCGATGGGACCAGGATGAGAATCTCTTTGTAGAAGGTAGAGCTTACCAAGTCTCAAACAGCTCAAAGGAAAGAATGAATGTAAGAATATCTGAGATTCTTATTCATGGCTTATAATTTACATAGTCTAAATGAAATTTTTCTAGATGATTGAATAATCTTTTCAATGTTATTCTAATTCTTAGTCAACAAGAAAGACTCCTCAATGTCAAGGTGGTGGAACCTTTATGGAATATAAAATACTTCATACCAAGGATACAACCTCTCAAGGTGATGGGAGTGTGGAAAGAATCTTCAAAATAAAGCACAGACGTAAAATGGATGAGAAAAGAACTTCAGTTAGGAATCATGTAACTACCATCAGAAAGTTTATATTTGGATAAATTCTATGAATAGAAATGTAGTCAATTTGAGTATAGCTTTGAATCCCAGTTATATATTGGTCAGTGGAAAAGTCCAAGAAGGTCACCAAAAGGCAAATTCAGGGACAGACTGCCTTCAGGGAATATATTTAATAGTGATAATGTATGAATTTGATATAATTGAATGATTTAGGGGGATGATGACAACGTATGAAACAAAATTTGAATTTCAGCGTAAGAAAAACAAGGTATAGACTGTTCAAAATTTAACAGGAGATAGGAACATTAAAAATGTAAGTTGATTGGAATGTGCTACTGTAATATTGTAATAAAAAAATCTGATGCTATCGAGTCAATTCCAACTCATAGTGACCCTATAGGACAGTAGAACTTCCCCATGAAATTTTCAAAGCTGTAATCTTTATGGAAGAGTTCTTCCATGGAGTGGCTGGTGGGTTCACACTGCTGACTTTTCAGTTAACAACCAAGCACTTAACTGCTGCACCACCAGGGGTCCTAATGTTGCAATATGCTAGTTGAATTGGTGAAGCTTTTTAAAAATTTCAAATGGATCCCCTCAAGGAATGATGAATGTGTAATGGTGAAAAGCTTAAAGGTGGTATTCACATTTTGTGCTACAATAGAAGGCCAGCATGAATTGGATTTCAGTACATTCAATAAATATGGAATACATCTTCATGATTTTGCACCTTAAACATGGCAGAAAGAATTGATTCAGGGATTCCTATGAATAGGAAGCTGGGAAGGAGGGCATTGCATTGCAGGAGCTAAAAGGCTAAGTAGCTATCAGTAGTTGACAGAATTCATGCTTTGTAAGTAATCCTGTTAAATGTTTGTTTTGGAATGTGTTATTGTAAGGATATGCACATATTGTCTGTTGTAAAATGTTATGAATACTTTGTTCAGGGCTAACTCTCTTCCATGAAGGCCAGATAGTTAAGGTAAGGTGGAACTCCAATAAACAAATTCCTCAAATGTAAACAGGCTATGACTTACTTTAGATGGAGCAGTATACAGAGAAAGCTATTCAGAATGTCAGATCTTTATGAGGGTGTTATACCAGATCCAAATCAGGGAGGGTAGCAGGGTATTGTCCCACAGGGCTGGTAGCTTAGGATTCATGAGAAGTTAGGTTGTACCTCCACCAGGAGAAAAATGGTTTTCAGGGCTCCTGATTAACTGTCCAGGAATACTCCAAGTGGAGCCAATTCAATAGAGACTGAATTCTAAGATTCAGTTCTCTGGATCCAGTGATGCACACTATACAGTAAGTTTTAATAGAGGGAAGAAGGTTTGGAGGTAGGAAAAGGAGAAGGAAAGAGCATTTCTGTGACTCCACTTTGGAATGTTGTGACCATACTTCTTTCTTCTTCTCTGTATTGATTCCCAGTGGTCTGCAGTGCCCAGATTGAACCTTCATTTACTGAATGTGTGACCAGCTCTAACTTAAGTGATCAGATCACATGAAGTTTCTATGTGTCCCTTGTGAGCCAAGGTGATTGATGTGTCAGTGGCTTGAATTCTACCCTATACACGTGTACTTGAGCTCCATCTGGACCCAATACACCGCCTACTTTTGGATGTGACAGGTTAAATAACAAACGAAAGAATGACCAACATCCAGATGGCAATTCACACTGCTTCTGTGTGCTGCACTGAGGGACATGTTCTGACTTCTACCACCACTGACTCAGGATGAGGAACCCCTGAGGAACAGATTCATGCCCCTTGGGTTGATCCAGAACATGATGCAGGTTTCTGGGTTTCATTCCTTCCCAAGGAGCTGATAGGGTATGTATCCAATGAGGTGGTGTGGCTTAGCCCTCCTAAGTCCTCCCTAGGATTCAAGCTGCTATAGAGCCTTTCACCACCACTTTCCAGAAGAAAGTTTGATATCTAAGAAGGAAACACAAAGGCAATGAGTAGGCAAATCAAACACTGAATAAAACATTAATAGTGTCAAGTTTTCAGGGCTAAAGATAGAATTAAAATTTTAGACAAAGTAGGTAAATTGGAAGCTGAATGAAAGTGGCCTAAAGTACTTCCATCATCTAGAAGGAAGGTCAAGATAGTGGTTAAGTCTAGATTTTATTAAGTTAAATATGTATGGACAATCACTAAAAAGATAGAACCAAAATATAAATTTATTTTAAAACTGGGATTGAAAAAGGCCAAAAATAGTGGGAAAATGGGAGAGGTAAGACAAGACTTTCTAGTAAAGGTGAGCTAGTTTATTTGGATCAATTTCCCACCAAAAATCAATGAAAAAGACTGCATAGACAGCTCTCCCAAGAGCACATTGAGGGTGAAAAGATGGTAATCCTTGGCAGTTTTAGAATGGAGTCCTGTAATCAGAGAGATGTACTCTATGGTTGGGTGCTGTCTTAAGTTGTTGTGTTGTTGTTTGCCATCAAGTCGGCCCCGACTCATAGCGACCCCTCCTTGGGTTTCCGAGGCAGTATCACTACGGAAGTAGGATTGCCCAACCTTCCTTCCAAGAAGTGGCTGGTGGGTTTGAACCGCCAGCCTTCTGGTGAGCAGTCAAGTGCCTTAGGCACTATGCTACCAGAGCTCAGTTCTCTAGAGAAGCAAAAACTGTATCTTAAGTATATACAGAGAGAAATTTATCTCAAGGGGATGGGTCACACAGTTGTAGTGGCTGGCAACTCCCAAATCCATGGGTCAGATGTCATGTTTGTTGATGAATCCAAGGTTGTCAGGCAATATAGTAGCCTGTTGGCTTTAGATGCTGACATATCCAAGATTGGCAGATAAAATGGTAGGTTGTTGTCTCACAGACTGAAGGCAACAGTCCCAAGATTGGGAGGGTGCTGGTTCAAGTCCAGATGATGAACTAACTGCAGGACATCCATATGTATTGGAAGCAGGCCCCTTCCTGAGGAAACTCCCTTTCAACTGATTGAATGCTCACAGCAGATCTCATCATGGAGGGTACTACGTTATGTCAGATCTCATCATGGGTAATGGCTACATCATGACTGCTAAAGCACTGAGAATCATGGTCCAACTAAGTTGACAGGGTCAGAAGGTCAGGGTCTGGCTCAACAAAGGTAGTGATTCTTAATAGGAGATCTTTCCAAAGATAAACTGGGTTCCCAAAATACTACACTCAGTATAAGGTAAACCAGATCTAAACTCACTCCTCTTCCCCAACTCCAGGGGACTGTAGAAGCAGCTGGCTTATTACTGAGCAGAGCAATAGAAGAAAAAATATCCCTGACAAGTTATGGTCCCAGTCAGCCCTTCCACAACCTGATACCTGGCAGAAGCAAAAACATCACTCGGAAGAGGACTTGTTTAATCTAGACCTCAGGTAATCCCTATGAATATTTTTTTTTCAGGGACAATGATTAACAAGCAATCAAAACTAACCAGGCACGTAAAGTAAAAAAGGCAACATGAATAAAAAATAGCAGAAAATGAGAAGTTAAGTGTGCTTAAAAGAATTGAAGAAATTTTTTTAAATTGAAAATTGCAGGGGAATGAAAATTGTTAAAGGTAAAATTACATATTTGAAAAAGAACCAATCAGAACTCCAAGGCTTCATTGATAGGTTTTAAAACACATTTGATCTCAGAGCAGAAAGAATGTAGAAAAGGGAGTGGGCCTGAAAATTGTCCAGGACTGATGAAAAATACAAGTTTCCAGATTTAAAAACCCAAAGAACACAAAGCCAGATAAATTTATTTTTTAAAATAATTATAACTACAGTACAGATCATATAACTGCAGGAAGGGAAGGAAATTCTTAGATAAGACAAAAAATTACCTTAACAAAGCAAAGGAAGAAACTGGTAGGAGCACAAGACTTAAAGGCACCTGATAATGCACAGTCTTATGATAATAGTAATAATCTACAAGTGGGTCTATACATAGACACTCAAGCTGAATGGGTGGGAAAGTGACAGGATATTTCTGCATATGTATATGTGTAGCAAATAAACCCATGAATACAGTAGAGCATGCAGGGGACAAAGTCATGAAAACTTAGCCATAATGAAACACCTTGAGGGAATGAGTCACTAGGCCTGGGAGCTCAGGGCTATAGTCTCAGGGGCACTAAAGTCAATTGGCATAACATAGCCCACAATGTTCACCCTAGTTTGGCGAGTAGCAGCTGGCATCTTAAAATCTTGTGAGTAGCCATCTAAGGTGCAACTATTGGTCTTTCCCTGTCACAAGAGTGAAGAAAATCAATGGCACAAGGAAACAATTAGGCCAAAGGACTAATGGACAACATGAACCCCAACCTCCATGAATGACCCTTAGACCACAACTAGATGGTATCCAACTACAACTGCTGACCTCTGAAAGGAATCACAATAGGAGATCCAGATAGGGAGAAAATGTGAAACAAAACTCAAAACCATGAAAAAGACCAGGCTTACTGATCTAAAAGAGAATGGTGGAACCCCTGAGACTGTGGCCCTTAGATAACCCTTCAAGCCTGGGGTTGAATTTATCCCTTCTAGCTCAACTTTTAGCCAAACAATAGGCCTATAAAGTGAACAGTAACACCAGAAAGGGACACACTCCAGAACGATCAACCATGCAAGATCAAGAGGGCAGCATTTGCACAAGGATAAAGCTCAGAAAGCAGGAAGGGATAGGAAAGGTCAAAGGAAAATGGTATTCGCAGGGAGGAAGTGAGGAGTGCTGTTACATTATGGGGATTACAGTTGACATCACAAAACAAAATATGCATTGTTGAAAACCAGTTTGCTCTGTAAACTTTCACCCAAATGACAGTTGTTTTTTTTAATAGCTTCAAAAGTAAGACTTGTTAGACATTTCAGCAGCAACAAAAAGAAAGTGGAATGAAATTGTCTTGCTAGAGATAGAAAATAACAGTCAACCTAAAATCTTTTATACCCAGTGAAAATATCTTTCAAGAATGGGGACAAAATAACCACACTTTAAAACAAACAAAAACTGAAAATTCATTCTGCAGATCCTCACTAAAAGAAATTTTAAATAATGCACTTTAATACAGAAGGAAAATGATTCTGAGATGCAAAAGAAATGAAGAGCAAAGAGAATGGGAAATACGCACAAATGTAAATGGACATTTTACATGAAACAATTAAAAAAATCCACAGAGTTGTTAAGATAGACCTGAAATTCCAGACAACAGTATTATATAAGTCAAAGAGGAGTAATAGATTTGAGGAATTCCAAATTATAGTTTTTGGTAGGCAGTAAAGCTTTGATTAATTTCATGAATACTTTAAAATCTGGGGTAATTAGAATGTATCATTTAAATACTAAAAACCTAC